AAGACCAAATATAACGTCCCAGAACACTCCAGCTCACATGTTAGTCTGCTCCAAGCATTTCCACAAAGGTCAGTCTTCTGCTGTAGTTATTACGTAATTTATCATAACATAATTGTTGATGTAGGTGACAAATAAGTCTCATATTGATTTGAATTGAATTTGTTGCGCTATGCTGCTTGTTCACTGTGGCTTTGTGGGCTAATGTTTGTTGTGTTTTGTAGGAAAACCAGCCTACAAAATGCAGGAATGGGATCCAGACTGGGCACCCTCTATCAGCCTGGGTCAGACCGAGTGTAAAGCTGCTACCACAGCCAGATTTGATCGGTTAAGAGAGAGAGCGATATCAAAACAGCCACGAAAAGTCTCGCATATATGTGCCCAAGGGTTGTATTGAAGCAATCAAGTGATGAATAAATGTTTTCCACTATGTTGTTTGCAATGTTTGTTTGTTTTTTTTTTTTTTTTTTTTGTTGATTTGTTTTTCACCGAAGCAGCTAATGAAGCATAATTGATTTTTATAATTTTGCCTCTTTCTTGTAAGATTTTATAACAGCATGAAACAATAGTGGCAGTTATAAGTAAAGACAATAAATTGAATGAATTACGAAACACTTATTTTATTTCTATTGGATCTGAAAATGTTGTTTAATACTACAACCTGAAATGATAAATAGATGTGTTTGCCTGTACAGAAGATAAAGGAAAAATTAAACAACAGCTGTGAAATGGAATAGTCCAAATCACCAAAGTAAACTGGACCTGGGCTTGTTGGAGGGATCTGAAGTTACTAAACATTTTGTGAGTGTATGCACTGACACTTAGGACCATATAATAATAAATATGTGCGTGATGAAAGTTGGGCAGCATGCTAACGTCCTTACTCCACTCTGTATTCTCGTATGGGTCTGACCCTTTTACTCCTTTGATTTTTTTCTCGTACTTTTTTTTTGCCTTTTCGTCAAGTCTGTCTTCGTATGGACCTGCCGAGTTCTCCGTCGTTTTGTACAGAATTGTTTTTGGGGCAAGTCAAATGCAAGTAGGGATTAAAACCACAGAATTAATGATTACCAGTGCTGGAAATACTAGCTCTTAATGCAGTGTTTTGATTTTGTTGCCACTGGTACCTGCAATGCGCGAAAGTCTGTCTGTAAAATGTGAAATTCTTTCAATCTCTATACATTGTACTGCAGGTTTGAGACGGACAGACTCTCAACCCTCACCCACCCCTCCCCAGAGACGTTGTTTCAGACATTGACCCCCAACACACCTCTCACCCCTCCCCCCTCACCATCCCCAATCCAGACTCAACGACCACCATCACACCTCTCACCCGTCTTTCCTCCTCCCTGGAACTCAGAATACACACTCAGGATGTGAGCCAACTGTTTCAGAAAGACAAGTCCATGAAAGCCCCTGTACCAGATGGAGTTTCACCCTCCTTGCCTCAAACATCCTGCAACATCTCGAC